GACCTACTATCCGGTATACAGTTGTAAAGCCATAAAGGACAAGGTGCCAAATCTGAGCAAGACAAGCACGGTCAGACTCTTGCATAGCACGTATTTTGCTGAAGAGCAGACCCATGCTGCCTTATGCTGCACCAAGACCCCAGGTGCTGTAGAGATTAAACTAGTGGATGAAGACGACGGTGTGAGCTTCGGTCATGAAATCCATGATAAGCGGGAAGATAATTATCATGGACTTCCCGTGCCACGACAGGGGATAGCATGATCAAGATTGCGATGCCGCTGATGCTCACAACCATTGTCCCTTATGCTAGTACCTGAACCCATCACCTCGATACCAACCTTCACAACCAGCAGTGTCTTCATCAAACAACTTCGCCATGCTCATCAAGAACTTTGTTGTAGTTTGCATGGATACGACCACACCTAGCAGTTCATAGCGAGGTCATCAACTGGGCCAATAAATTGGTGCCTGCATGTCTGCACTTACTCGCTACGTCCCAGTACATGCTGTCATTATGCAACTAAAGTTTTGGTATATACTACATAGGTGGATGCCGTTCTTAACAGAAGCATGCGCTGTCCGATGCCTGCGTTGTGTCCACCAAGTGCTGTCCTTCCCTTTAGTACGAACATTTTCAAACGAGGACACCCGATGTATGACCAGAATGGCGAGAACCAATTGCTCCTTCAAATCAGGCTGCGGGTTGGGGGGTCCTTATTGTAGATCTCCGTATCATACTGCATTGCCAAGCTCTGCCGGCCATGATGTGGAAGAGCCCTAGAAATCATGTAGGCAGCTTATTTAGCTGGTATCAAAAATCAATGAGCACAAGAAAGCTTCCAGAAACGGAGGGACCGGTCTTGGAAGTTGATTTCTTTCGGAAGACATGTAAAACTCAACTGGTTTGAGAACGAGCCTGGAACTTTGAATCTACGTAATGAAGCTGACATCCCAAATCCCCAAACTCTAAACTCCAAACGTCAACCTCCAATCACGCCTGGAGACTTCAACCGTGAAGCCTGCACCCTATACCGCCCTTGCAGCTTGTAGGAAATAGGGGATTGGGATTTCTTCGCACGTGAGGCTCTAGAAGAACTGGCTGCGCTATAATCCTACCTCCATCAAAGCCGAAAACCCAGCTTCCTAGTCAAGTCAGGTTCACCAACCAAAGCTGCCGTCGCCTCACATCCTACAACCTGCACCCCTGTACACCCCACGCGAGCGAGTACACGTCTGAGCTCAGCCACTGCCAAGGTTGGCCGACCCCAAGACGAGTTCCTTGCATCTCTTCAAGCTCGGGTTTAGGCTTCAGCGCAAGCCTGCGGTTTTCAAAGTCGGACAATGGCTTAGACTAATATCATGCTTTTGAGCCTGAACGTAGTCATCCTTGTGGCCGCCATGATTCTGAGTATGATGGCAACGCTAGTGGTAGTCGACCTGCTGTGGATGGCGAAAAACGCACGTCTGATGGCCTTGATGACGAAGGTGAGGATGGAGATGATAATGGTAGACTAATCGCGGTGCCAGGATGCTGGTGATAAGGACGACGGTGACGGTGATGATAGTGATTGCGGTGATAATGGTGATGCTGGTGATGATTGTGACGAATGGTGGTGATGATGGTGATGATGGTGAGGGTGGTAGTGCGAGAGGGTGATGATGGTAAGGTCGGTGATGGTGGTGATAATGGCGATGATGGTGAAGGTGGTAGTGATGACGTTACAGATGACGTTGCTGAGTCGTCCGCAGCTGCCGATGTGATTCTCTTGGTGCTGCTGTTGTTGTTGCTGCTGCTGCTGCTGCTGCTGCTCTGCTCTGCTCTGCTATGCACAAACATGATGCCTGCAATTGGCCTAAACGGCTTCGCCCCTGTCGAAAAGCCGAGCAACTCACAAGAAGAATGATCGCCTTATTGCCTTATTGGTTGTAGTTGCTCGTGCTTGAAGCGATGCTAGTAGCAGTCAGTAGCTGTTGCAGCTTCTTCTGCTACTACAACTCCTACTAGTAGTAGTAGTAGTAGTAGTAGTAGTAGTAGTAGCAGTATTAGTAGCAGTAGTAGTAGTAGTAGTAGTAGTAGTAGTAGTTGTTGTTGTTGTTGTTGTAGAAGTAGTAGTAGTAGTAGCAGTAGTAGTAGTAGTAGTAGTAGTAGTAGTACTAGTACTAGTAGTAGTAGTAGTAGTAGTAGTAGTAGTAGTAGTACTAGTAGTAGTAGTACTACCACTACTGCTACTACTACTACTCCTACTACTACTACTACTCCTCCTACTACTACTACTACCACTACCACTACCACTACCACTACCACTACTACGACTACGACGACCACGACGACGACGACTACGACGACGCTACTACTAGCACGGCTGCTGCTGCTACGGGAAGGCCCCAAGTTCCCTGCG